GCGTTGGAACGCAGTTAAAAGGCTAAAGTTTAACAAAAAAAGAACGGTGCCTCCGTTATATAAAATCAGCTTAATTTTTATGAATGAGGCTGTGTCAAGAGATTTTGCTCATGCTCGACTATCCATGTCTGAAACTGTCCTTCTCTGGGAGAAGGTTTGCTCTCAGCAACCAGTCAACACAAGTCTTGGTTTTGACCTTGGCTGTAGTGGAGTGGGCACTGATCCTATGATTTGAACTGTAAAAAGGAAAAGCCAATTAAATTGATTTTTTTTTTAAAACTATTTTTAAAATTTGTAAACGGGGCTGCGAAAAAGACTAATTTGGATGGGAAAATATGTATTCAGTCCCTGTTGCAAATTAGAATCTCTTTCTACCTGGATATAAATATGAAGTTAAAATAATCTTTTCTTTTGGTTTGACCCGGACACTATCTTTCCTCAAAGGAAAAAAAAAAAGGCAGGTTTTTTTCCTTTCAGGTTAAACGCATTTTTCTGCTTTAAATCATCTCTCTGCATACATACGCCTGCATGCAAAACATGACTGTGCACACGTGTAACTGCGCGCACACAATCTTCTGCAGCCAAAGTTATGTTGTCCTTTTTGTCTTGCAGTTCTTGACAAAGAGAAACCTTTATACATCATTCAGCCTGTACAGTATTTACAGGTCAGGTGAGTAAGAATGAAGAATATATAGAAATACAGTATTTAGGTATTTTTAATGCGTTGTTCTTTCTTTTTGTAAAAAAACAAAAAAACCCTCCAGAAACAGTATCGCTTATTTTTGCTTTCTAGTAAAATGTGTTTTTTAAGAAGCATTCAAATGTAGCGTATCTCTTAACAAAACAGGATTTCCCCGCCCCTCCCTGTACTTTGAGTCACATCACAAAATAGGCAGGTAACACTTTATATATTTGGTGTCTATTGAACACACGTAAGCTGAGTACATGTAACGATATCTATCCGTAACTGGCATGTAATGTGCAAGTCTCGTGTGATACAGGTGGATATTGTGCCCAAATGACACGAAGCAAGACAGATCTCATAAATACAATGTCTATACTGGTGAGACAGGAATATAGTTTTAGTATATGGGCTGTTCCTGGTCCAGTCCAGGGAAGCCCACCTATTTGAATTACTGATAAAAGAATAAAATGCCGATAAGAGTAATTTACTCCCTTAAAGCATGTATATACCGCTCAGTTCCTGCAGCTATTGGAAAACCTGCTGTTAAATTAAAAGAAGGAATGTAGCAAAACTCCTCCCATTGATCAAGTATCTCTTTTTTTCTGCAAACCTCCAGTTCTCCACTCCCTGTGCAAATTTGGAACTGGTGTGGCCAGCAGAAAACATTTTGCTTGAACTGATGGAAACTAAGCCCAGTGGTGGCTAGCGAGCCAGTATGAGTATAGACGAGTCCATATTATTTGGGTGCTGGCCCGACTGCAATTGCTCTCAAACTCCGGGACAGATGTGAAGCCGGTGAAGGAGCAGCGCCGACTTGCTGGGAGGCACAGAAGAGCCTAAACACTAGGAGATGTAACGTGCTTCATCTTGGTCATCAAACGAGAAGCCGCTGGCTTTGGCTAATGGGACTAACCCCGCTACAGTGATTTGCTGAAGCAGACTCGTATCTCGTGGCCCAGGCACGGAGCGAGATTCAATTTGCACAGTGAAGAGGTGCCTACAGTCGCCACGGGTGTGCCAGTCTTAAAAGACTACAGAGAGAAACAACTTGTGCTGCCAGACAGCATTCATTGCAGGCTGGAGAAATGAGCTCCTGGACGACTCCGTGCCTTGTGTGGAGGATGAAAGGGGGGGGGGGGGGGGG